TTTTTTTTTTTTTTTTTTTTTTTTGCTGCATTCAATATTCTGTCTTTGTTTTTGTCTTTTGGCAGTTTGACCATAATGTTCCTAGGTGTGGATCTCTTTGAGTTTATTCTTCTTGGAGTTAATTGACCTTGAATGTGTACATTAATATTCTTTATCAAATTTGAAAAGTTTTCAGGGATTATTTCTCCAAATAAGCATTTTTTTTTTTTTCCTTTAGAGACAGAGTCTTACTGTAAGCCAGTCTTCAGTGCAGTGGCACGATCATAGCTCACTGCAGCCTCAAACTCCCAGACTCAAGCCTGGCTAATTTTTTTACGTTTTGTGGAGACAGGGGTCTCCCTATGTTGCCCAGGCTGTTCTCAAACTCTTGGGCTTAAGCAATCCTCCCATCTTGGCCTCTCAAAGTGCTGAGATTACAAACACGAACCACCCTACCCAGCCTCTAAACACTGTTTTAAGTACAAAGAAATAGTTATTGTTTCTGCATGTCATAGCTGTGTAACTTTACCTTTTTCTGTTTTATCTAATATTGATGTAAACATAGAAGAAAGGGTACTTCAGAACATGAATTTCAGAGCAATCTACCAAGTCTCATGATTACAATCGTTGAAAAATTGGAAAAATTGTCTACCCAGAAAATGCAACAGAATCAACTAAAATGCCATCATTCATTCATTAAAATATATATTAATGGCCGGGCTCGGTGGCTCACACCTGTAATCCCAGCACTTTGGGAGGCCCAGGTGGGCAGATCACAAGGTCAGGAGTTCAAGACCAGCCTGCCCAACATGGTAAAAACCCTCTCTCTACTAAAAATACAAAAATTAGCTGGGCATGGTGGTGGGCACCTGTAATCCCAGCTACTTGGGAGGCTGGGACAGAGAATTGCTTGAACCTGGGAGGCGGAGGTTGCAGTGAGCCAAGATCGCACCACTACACTCCAGCCTGGGTGACAGAGCGAGAGTCTGTCTCAAAAAAAATTAATAAATAAAATATATATTAAGTTAAAGTAACATGTTAGGCATTGCCTAGGTGCTAGGGATACAGTGTTTGAATAAGGTCCACATTCATATAGAGTTTAAATTCTAGTTCTACAGAATATTAATGAGAGTTGTATAAGGTAGCTTAAAGTTAGGTCAATATATAAAAATAAGTAACTTTCTTGTCTTTTTCTTTTTGAGATAGAGTCTCGCTTTGTCGCCCAGGCTGGAGTGCAGTGGCACGATTTCGGCTCACTGCAAGCTCCGCCCCCCAGGTTCATGCCATTCTCCTGCCTCAGCCTCCCAAGTAGCTGGGACTACAGGTGCCCGCCACCTCGCCCGGCTAATTTTTTTGTATTTTTAGTAGAGACGGGGTTTCACCGTGTTAGCCAGGATCGTCTCGATCTCCTGACCTCGTGATCTGCCTGCCTCGGCCTCCCAAAGTGCTGGGATTACAGGCGTGAGCCACTGCACCCTGGCCCAAAAATAAGTAACTTTCTTGTCTTATACTAATTGCCATTGAAAGGCAAAATGCATTCATAGTTATAACAAAATATAACATAAATGGAACTATCCCTAGCAAGAAATGTATAGACCTGTATGAAAAAAAAAAATAACCTGTAACACCAACTAATCTAAAAGAAGACCTAGCTGAAAAACAAACAGAAAAAGAATACCTAAATGAATACCCATTTCTAGAAGACTCAACATCATGAAGGTATCAGTACTTTAAAACTTAATCAGTAAAAATCAATGCAATATTTATCAAATCTCTTTTTTTGTTGTTGTTTTTTTTTGAAACAAGGCCTCAATCAGGCTGGAGTGCAGTGGCGTGATCTCGGCTCACTGCAACCTCTGGCTCCCAGGTTAGGTTCAAGCGATTCTCCTGCCTCAGCCTCTGTAGTAGCTGGGACTGCAGGCACCACCACTGCACCCAGCTAATTTTTTTTTTTTTTTTTGAGACACAGCCTCGCTCTGTCACCCAGGC